AAAGGAACGTGAATTTTCTCGATCAATAGGGGTTGAGGGAGAAAGAAATTAAAATCAATGGAAATATTTCCAGGAGTTTTAGATGATGTACAATAGATGCCGCGATCAGGGCAGAATCATTTTTATAGAGATGAAGAGATAGAGGTAGTTGCAAAGATACATGCTCAAAAGTTATAAAAGAGCGAAAATGGAGAATATTCTGTCAACGTAATCACCTATTGATATGAATCAATGAATCTTCTGATTTTTTTTTATTATACTATTTAAGCATGAAAAAAAAAAGATCAACTAAAATTACTCTAGAGTAGAAAAGGACGTAATTTTTCTCGGAAATTTAGCTTCCCAAGATTAATGTATTCATCGCGTGAACCTTTTTATATATGCGTGCATGCCCGAGTGCCATGTAACCACGTAACCCAATGCAAAATTGCGATGCAGAAAATAATTTGCGTTATAATCCCTTCAGTCTTCAGTATACCGACTTTGACTTTCAAAGTATTTAATTCAAGATTTTTATTTCGATAGGGCTTGCCTGATGCATTTCGTTAAAATAATTCGGTAGTTCAAAAATAAAAAAATTGGTTGGAATTTAGAACATGATGGCAATTTTCTTTGAGTACACTTAATCAAGATCAACCCTCAGTTGTATTAGGGCACCGAAAGATTGATTGGAACGTGAAAATACGGCTAGCCATTTTGATCATGAGACAAACCCCACTGTTCCAGGCCAAGTACATTGGAGACCGAAATTCTTTACGTCATCGCATTATCAAAAAAATTACGGTGTGTGCTTAAGACCACACGGCAGAAGTGAAAATTTCAAAAATCAAAACGATTTGAACGTAGGTTGAATAAACAAACTTCACAAATGCTTGACCGTTGCCGCCATATTGAATCCTGGCATGAGTGGTTTGGATCAAGTTTGTTTGAAAGAGAGAGTTTCCGGATCACTTTTATGACGTCATCTGTATGCCTGAACATATTGCAAAAATCTCCATAAGAACTACCTGATGACGTCATCTGTTTGCCATTACCAGGCAACCTTTTATATGCAAATAAAATTTTGCCACTGATATCGGCAACGTCACCGAAATTTGTTCTAAGGGAAGTCTCGATTGAATCCCAATAGCGCTATCCCACTCTACTGACTGTCTCTCTCTATCTGGCTTGGCTGAACTCGACTCGAGCCGACTGTATCCGACCGAATGAGCGTTAACAATTCGGGCGGAACGGCTCAATCTCATTCACGTTAACATGTTGACAGGAACTTCTCACTTTATAAGTGGACAGCATATATAGAAACGCTGCTGAAATGTTTAAATATTGTTCACGACTCTAGAAACCTTCCACGAGTTTGGCTACAATCCCCATTTATAACCAAGGTTATCGTCTAATTTAGCCTAACAGCCACTTTCTGTTTTGGTTATTTCAATTCTTTTCCAATCTGTTTCCTAGCATCGGTCGCCCAAACATCAGTCAGAAAAGTTATATTTCTAGAAGGAAGCAGATCATCGAAACTGCACAACCAAAGTAAAATTATTTTACAAAATCCGCAGAGATTTGGATAGCGACGTGATGCGAAACCAAAAATGTATTGATGGCTGATTTTTAAACTCAATTTTGCTGTTGATGTATTTCCCTAAAAACTATTGGAACATGTTTTATAGGTTTTATGTTTATGGGAGTAGCTGGAAAAATTCGGAGCGTGTAATACAATTGGGTTATCGAACGCGTCGAGCAAAAATGATATAGAGCCGTCAATGTCAAATCCGTCACACTTTTGACATTAATATTCCCGCCTAAATCTGTTCTGCGCGGGCTGCGTGTAGTTAGCCATAGCCCATTGCAATAATAATTAATTGGTAGTGCAACGTAGTGTGTGAACAAGCAGAGATTAATTCAATCAATTAATACAAACAATGGCAGCGGCCTCCACCAGTGCTACACCAGTGGATTGTGGTATCCGCGATGTGTGGGCTTATAATGTGAAAGAAGAATTCCAAATCATAAAGAAGGTTGTCCAGAAGTTCAATTATGTGGGAATGAAGGTCGTATTTCCTGGCATAATCTCTCGTCCCTTGGATAAAAATTCTCCTGATTTCCACTACCAAATGTTGCGTACCAATGTTGATTCATTACATATGATTCAATTAGGGCTGACTTTTATGGATGAAAAAGGAAACACGCCTGGGGACGATTACAAAGCCTGGCAGTTCAATTTGCAGTTCAATCTGAGCAAAGATCAGCATTCTAGAGACGCATTTTTTATCCTTAGAGATGCCGGTATACAGTTTGACAGACTCGAAGAAGAAGGCGTTAGCCCCTGGGCACTAAAATGTTATCTTTCGAAAAGCGAAGTTGTACAAACCAGCAAAACTAAATGGATTGGCTTTGATCCTGGATTTGTTGTCGCGTTTCTGTTTAGACTCTTCAGAGAAACTGCCCTTCCATCTGATTTTGAGGATTTTGTCGATGTGATTAGAATTAATTTTCCGTGCATTTATGACATAAAATACATAATAACAGAATCATGCAAAACACTCGAAGGAGACCTTGACAAGGTGGCTGGGAAACTGGGAGTGGAGAGATCGGGGCCCAAATACCAGGCTGGATCGGAGGCGCTTCTAACTGGAATGGTCTTTTTTAAATTAAAAGAAGATTTATTTGGGGGTACTATCGACGACTCAAAATTTTTGGGAAAAATAACTGGCTTGCTCTCTCAACGGCGCCGAGTCCAGAAGGCCAGAGGATCGAAGAACGAGCCGAAGACTACATCCCCGTATTTCCCGTCCTCATCTAAATAAAATGGACACTTATTCATAAAAATAAAATGTTCAAATTTTCAATAAATATTATAAGGATAGTCACATAAGTATTAGTATAAATAAAATATGTATTCAAATTTTCAATAAATATTATAATTATAAGGATAGTCACATAAGTATTAGTATGAATAGAATATGTATTCAAATTTTCAATAATTATAAGCACTATATAGGCACATAGTATTCATTTAAATAAAATATGTATTCGATTTTTCAATAAATATAAAAATAGACTGCGTACATTTTTATTTTTACCTGAAAACTTCTAAAATATAATAAATAGCCCTTTACTGTTTATCTTCAATCTTCCAATCTCAGACTGACATTTTATATTGCTTTCTGTCCTGTTTACAGACCGAATAAGAAACAAAAGTGAGTTTAGAGGCTAATATTTATTCAACATTTTTATTTCTCAACTAATTCAAAAGTAAAATGTCACTAACTTTTAAAATCTAAATACAAACATTGAAATGGTCTTCACAAAGGTTTTCAGTGAAATATCTTCAGGCTGGCACCATGAGCTGTTAGCCAGATTTTTTGGTTATTTTGCTTTAATAAATGTCTTGAATGGAATGGACACAATCAAAAGAGTCGGTAATAAGGAACTGATTGCTTTATTAGAGCGAAGAGAAATTGACGAGACCTAGACCAATGGAGATTGGACAGCGTAGAACGTTGTAAACTGAGAGAACATTGGAACCAGAGCTGGGCAAAGCCCCCAGTAAAAGGGCTTGAAGCACTAAGCCCTAAGCCCTCTATCAAAGTGCTTCAATTTCAAGCACAAATTCCTTTTTATTTTCAAAAGTGCTTCACAAGCACAAAGCCCTCAAAGTGCTTTGGGCTTGACAAGCACAAAGCCCTCAAAGTGATTTGAAAAGTGCTTGAAGCACATCAAAAGTGCTTGGGGTGCCTTGAAAAGGGCTTCAAGCTCTTTAAATGTGCTTCAAGCTCTTTAAATGTGCTTGAAGCTCTTTATATGTGCCTAAAGCACTTTGAATTTGTAATAAAATTCTCAAAGTGGCATAAGCTACCACACCCATCACACAGAATTGGTATAGTAGAGACGAACTTTACATTTCACAGAGTAGCAGTAGTATGTTTTTTTTTGAGATGTAGTTCTGGGGTACTTGGGGTAGTTGGGGTACGACATGATAATTCAATTTTAAGGTTTTCAAAATGTTCAATGGGGAAAAGTGAGAAAAATCCAGTGATAAAGTTAAATAGGATACCAATATAAATTAATTATTTATTTGAATAATAAGTTCATTCATTTTTTTTTTTAAATTCCATTCTAAGCTCAAACCCAAAACCTCCATTGTTAAGAGAGAAAAGACATAAGACGGTTCAAGTTCAAATAATAGAAAAAAAAATTAAAGAACAAAATACGATCGAAAATTTTTAAGTGGGGGATAGGTTGAATGATGGTCAATTCAAATTCCTTTCAAAGTGCTTCAAGCCCTTTTAAAGTGCTTCAAGCCATTTCAAAGTGCTTCAAGCCCTTTCAAAGAGCTTCAAGCTCCCAAAAGTGCTTCAAGCCCTCTTAAAGTGCTTCAAGCCCTCTTAAAGTGCTTCAAGCCCTTTCAAAGGGCTTCAAGCTCCCAAAAGTGCTTCAAGCCCTCTAAAAGTAATTGAAGCTCATTGAAAGGGCTTGAATTACTTTTTTCAATTACAAATTACCAAGCACTTTTCTAAAGTAATTGACTTTGCAAGCCCCAATTACAAATCTATAAAAGGGCTTGAAGCACAGGGCTTTCAAGTCCTCGAAGTGCTTCAAGCACTTTCGCAAGCACAAAACACTCAAGCCCTGCCCAGCTCTACATTGAACCATGACATGGTATATGACAATACCCCTAAAACAGTTCTGCTGCCACCCGAATGTGGGACAAATAATCTGGAATCACTAATAAATGCTTAGAAAAATTGGTAAGTTAAATTTTATGCCAAATGAGGTGGTCACATAATATTACGTTATAAAATGTATCTAGGAATAGTAGAAATGCAAAGGATCAAATGGTGGTAACCCATAAGTTTGAAAAACTGTATTATGTTAATACAGTTAAGGGATCCTGATCCTATCATTTAAATATTGATGCGTATACTCACAATAACGAAGTGACAACATAAGGAGCTTGAAATCTGTCAAATTGCAAGACAATAAAAACAATGTTAACTTACCGTGTCTTGGTTGTATGCTGGCGCCATTTTTTTCGTTGTATAAATAGTCCCTTTCCCTGTAACTCATTTTGTTGAATTTTGCTCCCAGTTTTATTATAAATCAGTCTTATTGGTCGCTTCTAACTAGTTCATAGCTCTAATGTTGAATGCCTGCAACAACGTGAGAAAAAAAATTATAGGAATATATTAATATTTGTAATTATATTCTAAGTTCAATCGCTGCTTTGATATGAACTACTTTATTGAGTTGCTTAATAATCTTTTATTATCTCATAACAATATCCAGTATCGAGCTTTAAAAAAATGCACTGATTTATTCATGTTTGTATGTATGTTTGTATTAAGTTCTTATCTTCAGATATGATATAAGTAATATAAATTTATTAAGAAAAACCGCTTTGTTTTATAAAATTGATAAATATGGGAATATAATATTGAGACCGGAAACGAAGCAAATATGAAACAAGAAAGCCTATCGCGGATTTCGAAAATTTGAATGCAACCAAAAAAAAACATTTTTAGGTTTGGTTTATGTTTAAAATTATTAAAAAAATCTGTGACCATTTTCACCCTTTTCAGTCTTGAAATATTTTCCCCCTCAGCCTCATTTTTTTCTGAATTCATCATTCAATACTGGTAAATAGACTTCAAAGTGTAAAAAATAATCCACAATTGAGACAAAAATTGACAACACTATAATGGGATGAGCCTCTACCTTTTTGAATAATGCCTTTTTATATCTCTGTTCAATTAAGTTTATTAAAACAGGGCATGCTCTATTAGCTTATTTTAAGTACAGGGTGCGCCATCGGAATTTCCCTTGCGTAATTAAACGAATTACTCTTGGGGCCTTGTCAATTTTGGCTCTAGAAGGGACACCTTTTTCTGGTACATACTCATACTATCACCGCCTATGACAAAATTTAAGTGAAAGTGACAGTTACCCCTAAACATTTAAAATGGAATAAGGGGTCTTGTTTGAAAGGACTTTTTATCAAGATTAAAGCCAGCTGAGCCAATAAGGCGGCGTGGCCTGTTAAAGTGGAAAATGAGAGGTAAAAATTGCTGTGAGAGGCAGTAAGCCCTCTAACGAGTCAAAAAATGCCACTCGGCTCAAGGCAATCTATTTCAGCACCCCAAGGTGAAAATAAAGCTAAATATGCTGTAATTTTTGTGAAATAAATTCGAAACGTTAGCTTAGGCAATTTCTAATTCCTTTACCTAAATATTAAAGTTTGAGATATTTTCGAACTATGTATAGGTATCAACAAAAAAATACATAATTTTCCAACCATTTATTTTTCTTTTAAGGAATAGGTACACACAAATTTTCTAATGTCTTTTTCCTTCTCTTCGAAAATGTAAACCATGTAGAAATATTTAACTAATCTATTTCAATGAACTGTGAATTGGTTTTCTACAACGACACGATGATACCTCTACTAGATATAGTTTGTATATAAAATCGAAAAGATAAAAATGTTCACAAACATTGTTCGAATACATTAATAAGGCTTGCAGTCCGGCTGATATATTTTAAATACGGAATTTTCAAGATCATCCGGGGATTTTTGGATCAATCCCGAAAAAATGAAACATCAATATATTGTCACGAATTCCGTAAATATACATTTATTCGAATCATACAATGGAGCGAATTCCTAAATATTCGCGCTCGGTTCCTAACAGTGGCTTCGACCTCTCCACTTCTCTTCTATGTCTATACCTCCATTCAGATACATAATAAGTATTCTGTCTATCACTTGAGGGTCAAAAATGGTTTGTTGTCACTATCTTCCAATTGACCACTTCTGAGCTGACTCCGTTTCAAATTTCAAATCGAATGCATCTACTAGGAACTCTTTCATGCTGATCGATTCTGATGCAGTGCTGGCATTGAGCTGGACATGGTCACCTGGATAAGGTATCTGAGTTGTCAAGGAGTTTACCAGAACGATGTTTGATTTGAAAACCGTACTATTAGGTACAACTTCTCCGTCGAAGGCTGACATTCTCGAACTAACGGCTGTACATCGCCCATGATATCTGACCATCGTATTATGGTGGTTTAACTTTGATACAGGTTACAGGCGCAGCTGAGACATTTCATGATATCCAGACACATTCCAACTTTTTAATTTTTTTTTTCTTGACACTACACATTTCTAACTTCCTGATGAACAATATCACAACTTCTACCTTCTCCACAAATTTCTTCTCTCACTTGTTCCATTGTATTCTCGAATTTATTATCTTTTCCTTTCAGGATGAAGGTTTATTCCTTACAGATTACGATTTGAATCCCTTCTCGCTGAAATTTGAAATTTTCCTGAAGTCCGCTCTGTTTTTCTTGCTTTTCTTCTGATCTCCGATCTTGTTGTTGCTTTGAAAGCGCTTCTTGTCATTCTGGGCTTCCTCGTCTTGTCTTTCTTTTTGTCTTCAGCGGATTTTTTTTTTCAAAAATCAATCAGTCTTCTTTAAATGTGAGCTGATTTTTGTGTGACATTTAGTTTGAGTTCGATACAAAATTAAGTTATTCACATAAATTGAATTTGTACACGAATCTATAAGCGCTTTTCTTTCCCGAGATGGGAGTCGTCAAGTTTGAAATTTAATTTGGCTTGCAGTGTTAAATTTAAATCTTACCTGAAATATTATTATAAAATTGCTCTGACAGTATCAATATTACTTTAGATTGATTTAAGTAAATAAATTGGCTCGGAAGATTTTGGAAATAGCAAGCAACCTAAATGGGTATATTCGGCTTAAAGTTTGAAAAAGCTTTTCAAGCAACTCTTTAATTGTTGATTGGTTTCTATTTCGGTAACGGAAATTGACAGCCTGAACCCAGAGCCAATTTTCCCAGCGCTTGTTACTTCTAATAGAAAGTTCTTCAAGTATTAATGTCGCACTAGAAAAAAAAGATTTTCGACAAGAACTTGGGACATTTAAATTTGAATATTAAATTCATTAATAAAGAAAATAAACATAAAGTTTTTGTTTTTGAAATTACATGTTCTCAGATAAAAAGTGTAGTTTTTTTGTAAAGAGGAAGTTGCAATGTAATGTTAACTTACCCATTAAATTTAAGATAATCCCAACAATTCAATTCACTTAATTTAAAGTCTTATATACCACTAATTACCTCATTATTCAAGATTCTATATCATCTGGCACCAACCTCTACAATCCGTTTCTCAAACGTACTGATTACTGAAATTGCCATCAGTTCACCCAGGCCTCATTATCTTTTCGAATTTGGGATCATTGAAATAATCAACGTTCTATTATTATTTGTTATTTTTATCTTTCTAGTATCATTATCTGACCTTTGGTCTAGATTATCTCCTATAGGCCGTTTCATAAGTCATTAACATTTGTATGGACGTTGTTTTGATGTTTTATAATTTGTACTGGCGATTTGTTGAGTTTATCAGGAGAACTAATAGAAATAAACGGAGCAATATACTAGAGATTATTTCTTTCTTTTTCAAACTGCACATCAAAATTCCCTATGCCTACCGCAGATATTTAGCATTTTACTAGGGATGAATATCAAAAGCGTTTTTGTAATTTAGGTCAGTAGGATGCTGCATTGCATAGCGGTATTATGTAGGTTATAGCTAAAACCATAACCCGCTTTGCATAGCTGGGCGCTATATAAAGGCTTTAGGCATTGTACAAACACAATGGACCCAAATTGTCAGCTACTAAATAACGAAGGTTGATGGACAGTTATTATAAGTTGCATCTGGAAATAGCTATTGGGTTTTTATGGCAGCTGGAACAGCTTTTAAACGATTTGAGTGAAATAGGTAGCAGAGAAAATTACCTACTTCCTCGTAATGTGTAATCTGTTTTTCTTTTGATGAATTTTATGTTAGAAAAATACAATGTTTGTGCCTGTACTTACTAGCTCCCTAGTTGCATAATCCAACATTTATATCGGGAGGTGAAAAATCAACACTATTTTACATGCAATTTCAATATTAATAATGTGTCTAGAAGGTTTATTGACATTGTGCTTATCCTGTTTGCGAGCACTTTGTTGCGCTGGACGCATTCCTTAAGGGTGTCTTACTGTGCCTAGGCCTATTATGGGGTCCATTTATTCAAATTCATTTTTCAAACGGTTCAAGGGTAGATTTGGGAGTGGTTGGAAAACACTCTAGTATTTTGGTGCCTTGTACAAGGTTGTACAGGTCTTTTACTGGGTGGTGTTTCATTATTGTTTCTGAGACCTGAGACTGCATTTGGTTGCCCGAAAATGCTGATCCAGTGCCTCGCAGTTTACCAGGATGTGTCTGGCTGTCTCGGGTTCCTTATTGCAGACCCGCAAGGTCTCCGTTATGCAGGTTGATCCTGTTCAGGGGCACCTTTACCGGTGTGAGGAATGACATAGGGCCCGTTATAGTCCTCAGTCGGCTCCTACTTATTTTGTAGCAGTTCTGCGGCCTTTTTTCTGCATAGCTGGTCGATGAAATCCCTACATGATTCTACCTGGAAGTTGTCCAGTAGTGTCGATGTTCTTTACGGAACCATTGCTTCTGGTCCATTCACCAATTCCAAGGCTTTATATTGTCTCCTGAACGACGTGTCATATTTATTTCAAGGATTCTGCCGGCTAGCTTAAACTGATCATCCTCATCATCATCAAAAATAAAATTGTTCATGTTCTAGATAGAATGTGGGTGTACAAATTTAATATTTGAAGTATGTGTACTTGATTTATTTTTTCGATTATGTATGAATATTAATATTTAAATACCTATGGTCCATAGAACTGTAATTGTAGTTAAGTGCCAGAGAAACACTTATAAAACAAATTGGATTACATTATCATACTTCATATCAGCATTTATCTCATATCTGGCATCGAACACGTAGTTTTTTTTTTTAATAGGCAACTGTGTGTAAAGGTCACTATGCCTCATGTTCCTAGTTGGTGTAACCTATTTTTTCAACACGAACGACTTTTATTTACCCACCACATGGGGTTTAATGACCGTGTTCATTCATGTGCTACAAGCTGCCGCTAAACAGTTTCAGAGGTGTACGTTATATGCGGGTGAATTGTAATTTTAAATTTTAGATTAGATGCCTACTGGTTAAGCTGAAATTTAATTAGGTACTTGCCCAAAGCTTTAAAG